CTGAATGGCTTATTTCTCTCTCTGACTCCATCTCCTTTTCCTCCTCACCTCACTCCACCAAACTGATTCCCTTGCTAATTCTCAGACACAGACCACACTCTCCCCTTAGCACTGGCTGTTCCCTCTCACTGGAATATTCTTCCCTCACAGGGCCATTAGGCTCACTGGCTTTGGACCATCTTTCTCCAGACATCACCTTCAGGAAAACCTCTTCTGTCCACTGTATTCAGCACTGCTTTTGCCACCCCCTCCTGCCCCCAAATAACCACTTGCCTAGACCCTTCCTGCTTTGTTTTTCTCCTTCACACATATCACCATGCACCCTTGTTGTTGTTGTTGTTGTTACATGCCGTTGAGTCATCTCAGACTCATAGTGACCCCTCCTTGGGTTTCTGAGGTGGCATCACTACGGAAGTAGATTGCCCAATCTTTCTTCCAAGGAGTGGCTGGTGGGTTTGAACCGCCAACCTTCTGATTAGCAGTCAAGTGTCTTAGACCCTAGAGTGTATTTTTTTCCAATTAAAAAATTTCCCTACTCTGCCTTTTCTACAGTCATCACATGTATAGTTCAGTGACATCAATTAAATTTATCATGTTACTCAACTATTGTCATTAACCATTTCTGAATTTTTCCATCACCCTTAATAGAAGTTCAGTGTCCCCTAAGCATTGAGTCTTCCTCCTGCCTCCCCCAGTGTATTTTAATCATTTCCCTTGTTCTTTACATTTCCTCCCCCAGTACAATGTCAGCCTCAGGAGGGCAGGAACATCTGTCCCTCCTGTCAAATACTCTGTCTTCATCACATTAAAATTGCCCTTGGCACACAGTAGGTGCTCAATAAATACTTGGTGAATTAATAATTAGAGTTGGTTAATCAATGTGCCTGAGGGAAAATAACACACTTATTTGCTTAACTGGAAACATCAGGCTTACATCCAAGGGTCCGCAGTTAAAAGGCTACTCCCTTGAAAAGTTTGCCGCTCTCTCTGAAATCAATCAGGGTGCAAAGAGGCCAGAGGCAAGTTGAGGTTGCAGGAAGAGACAGATACCCACTGACCACATAGCAGGTGGCTGGCATCCAGAAGCCTTTGGTCATTTCAGATGTAAACAGCTGAGACAAGGAGTAGGATGGGAAAAGTGAATCCCAGGAGCAACACCCTGGCCTGTAGCTGCCCTGACACAATGACACCACATTCTGGGAGCGGGTTAGCAGCTTCCACACACCTGGCCACCAATTCAGTTTAATCAGAATCAAACACAGTCATGAGAGGGTGCTTAACATTCCAGATCATAAACAAAAAGCAAAGGGAAAGAAATTGGTAGACAGAAAGACCCCTTCCCCAGAGGCCTTGAAAGTATATATATATTAAAATGGCTCATTTCTCAATCCCACATCCTTCAACACCTCCTCCCTTCAACCTCCCCCAGCTGCTCACTCTGTTGGCCTCCTCACACATGGTCTCTTCCATCCTCTGTCCACCTCTTTGCACATGGACTTTTCCATCCTCAGGCCTCTGCTCAAGTGTCACCTCAAGTGCCTCCTCTCCTAGTGTCTGTCACATCACTCTTATTGTAGTCATTACAATTCATAATTATTATCCACCTTTCCACTCCTTATCCCCAATTGTTACAAATTGAATTGTGTCCCCCACCCCCACCCCCAGACTATGTTTTGAAATCCTAAGCCCCTGCGCCTGAAAATATGACCCTGTTTGGAAGTAGACAGGGGATTCTTTTGTTATGTTAATAAGGCCATACCATAGTAGTAGGTCCTAAATCTAATCACTTCTGAGTGATAAAAAGAGCAGACTAGACACAGAGAAGGAGCCTTGGTGGCACAATAGTTAAAGTGCTCAGCTACCAACCAAAAGATTCATGGCTCAAACCCACCCAGCAGCTCTGTAGGAAAAAGACTTGGTGATCTGGTCCATAAAGATTACAGCCTAGAAAACTGTATGGGGCAGTTCTACCTGTCACGTGGGATTGCTATGAGTCAGAATCAACTTGAAGGTGCCTAACAATAACAACAGTCACAGAAACACAAACAGGGCAAAGAGGAAGACAGTGGACAGAGGCAGATGTATCTGTAAGTCCAGGAATGATAAGGATTACAGGCAGCTACTAAAAGCTGAAATATATAATGAAAGCCCTCTCCCTGTAGCCATGCTCTAGCCTCCTGAATCGGGAGCAAATAAATTTCTGTTCTTTAAAGCCACCCACTTGTGGTATTTGTGTTATGGAAGCACTGGGTAACTGAGACATCAACTCAAATGTCAACTCCTTTAGGGCAAGGCCTTTGTTTCTCTTGTTCTCCCATGTATCCCAATGGTCAACAGAGTGCCTGGCACAAAGGTGAGGCCAGTGCTTGACTAAAGCAACAGAGCCCCCACTACACACACACACACACACACACCATCCTCTCCTTCAAGCTCTGGGCAGTTGTGACAGATGTCCAGAGAACTGTGCTTGTGTGGCTACTGAGCCCTTGAAATGTGGCCAGTCCAAATTGAGAGTGCTTGCAATATAAAATACACACCAGAGTTTAAAGACAGTACCAAAATCAAAAAAGTAAAGCATCTCATTAACAAATTTTTATATTGATTCCATTAAAATCATACTATCTTGGATATTCTGGACTAAGTAAAACATATTATTAATTTCATTTTTCTTTTTCTTTTTTTTTTTTTTACTTTTTAATGTGGCTACTAGGAAAATTTTAATTATTTATGTAGCTTGAGTTGTATTTTTATGAGGCAGTGCTGTGTTAGTCTTGGTTATAATAACACCATGAAAAACCAGCCAGTAACGTGGCCCAGCCTTCACTACCACCTCTCACACTACTGCCAAATCTGTTTAGAGCAAGGCAGGAAACACCTGTCCCTCTGGCTTCCCGTGACACACAAATATTTAAGTATATTCAGAAATGGGATTCAGAAATCAGGGCTAAAAAGAGTTTATGACATGAACCAATTGTACTTCCAGAATGTAGGCTGTCTTCTTCCAGAACAATACCCAGAACACAGTAGGCATGCAAATATCTGCTGAGTGAATAAATCAATCCTTTGCAAAGAAAAAAAAAAAAAAGCTAACTTGTCTATTCATTTGGGGGAGTTCCTAACTGACATAAATGGCTATATACGTGGCTACTTATTGAAAGGTTTGCAGTTCAAATCTATCTACAGGTGCCTTGGAAGAAAGATCTGGTGATTTGCTTCTGGACAAATCAACCATTAAAAACCTTATGGAGCATACATGGGGTTGCCATGAGTCAGAATCAGCCTGACAGCAACTAGTTTGCTTTTTCAGTTTTCTATTTATTTGGGATTATAGAACATAAAAAAGCTGGAGGGTATCTGGAATATGCATGGTCTAGGATGGGGGACCAGGCTCTCCCACATTATTGAACTATGAGATACTAAGCCTCATGTTCTCACCTGGAGAAGAGGTAGACTCTGCCTTGCCAACCTATCCAGGTTAGTGACATCTAGTAGGACTTTCTACAATGCTGAAAGTGTGCTCTGCTTTGTCCAATATGGTGGCTGTGGAGAGCTTGAAATGTGGCAATTATGATTGAGGAACTGAAATTTTTAATCTTCTGATTAATTTAAATTCAAACAGCCATACGTAGAAAGTGGCTACCATCTTGGACAGTCCAGCATCAGGCTGTTGGGAAAGGATGGAATGAAAGAAAGCTTGTAAAATATTTTGAAAACCCTATAGAAATAGCAAGAGTTTTGTTGTTGATGTTTAATGTATTAGAAATCAGAGATTCAGAGCGGTTTCAGTTGCCTAACATCACAAAGAACTTCAAATTCATCATAAGCAGAAAAAAAAATGTAAACAGACACGATGATTTTACTTCATTTTGGGGAGAAGGGCACCCAGTTTCATGGATAACTGTTCACAGAGCTCAGAACACTAAACTTTTCAGTCCATATTTCATCCACATTTAGTACTTCCAGGGCCTGGACATGTTTCCTGCCCTTCCTGTTGACCTTTCTTGCATTTCTCCTGCTACAGAAACAGGTCCTACCAACAGCTCCCTGCATGCCTACATGACAGTCACTCATAGATTCTCAGATACACAGTAATACCTGTGAAAGCTGGAACCCATGTAAAGTGGAAACCTGTCAGACGAGGAAAAGTCAGATATGATCCATTAATGGAGAGAGATAGAAAAGTAGTAGGATTATTCCCTGTCAAAGGCAGGAAACTTGCAGAAAAACAAGGCAGTCCGGTCAAGTTCCAGCTCTCACAGTTTGCATTGCACAGTATACAGAGGTTGCTCAAATTTGCTGATGGATGATAAAGCCAACCAGGGGTGAGGACTAATTGGTAGCTGTGAAAAATGCTAATCTATTTACACTCAGGTTGGAGAATGCTCATGAAATTCAAATCAAGCTCGCCTCCCAAGATTTTTCCCAGCAGGAAGGCCTTTCCCAGTCTAAACAGCTTTTCCTTACCATTAAGATAATTATATTCTACACACAAGTAGACAATAAAGAAATGAGCAGGGAAGTGGAAGGGAGGAGGGAATGAATTATTAGGATAGAAAAGTCAAAAAATGGTATGTCTGAGCAAATATCAAACAGTTCCAAGAACAAATGGAAGGAACTGCCCTAAAATATTTAAGAGGTTTTATGAGCTCATTCATTATAAAGAGTTCAGGAAATGTTCCCCTCAGTCCTTTCAGCTTTTCCTCAGAGGCATTAAATTTGGATCTTAAGCATGTGTAATGCTGTAATGTGCCACACAGCCCTTGGTCTGGCCCCATGGAGGAGCTTCCATAATGAAAAAAAAACATGTGAAATTAGATCCACATGCATTGGGCCCACAGGTTGGGCTCTGTGGTGTGTTCTTGTCCGACAGCAGGGCTGCTGCTCAACAATTCCCAAGGACTGGCCTCCAGCAGTAACCTCCAGCTATTAAAACAAAACCATCTGGCCAGGGGTCAGTGTGACTGCTATCTCTTCGAGAGGAAGGACTCAGTTTTCCATACCTCGAGTTCAGTCTCTCGTCTGTTGATATCATCCGTGGATTGATTTAACTTCTCCAGTTCTCCCTAGTGAAGAAAATAGGGAGAAAAAAGATTTGAGGGATCCAGTTTTTGTTTCCAATATAACTCAGCCCATAATCTGAAAAACTACCCTTGCCCAATTTGTAGCAAGAAGAAAAAGTTGGCTTTAATTTTCAAGGAAAACAGATGAGCTTGAGCTGGAGTAAAGAACATCTGTATTTCTGAAATCTTTATCTTGATGATGTCTCTCAAAAATGCCTTAAGGGCTAGGCATTATTTGTCTTTTCTGATAAGGTCATGTATTTATTCCAGGTATGTGCCTCCAGGTAAATTCATCTATTACAAAGGATTTAGCGACAGATTCAAAACAGTAACCTCTGCCTTAGAGCAGAAAAAAAAAGAAAAAGAAAAAGAAAAGAAATCAGCCCATGCCAAAAGTATAAACTCAGTGAAATAATTTAAATCAAGGAAAGACTTGTGACATTAACTCATCAGTGGTTGTTTTTCTATAAAGAGATGAAAATATTTTTTAAAAAAACTGTCAATTAATCAACCTACCTAGTTTTTTTTTTCCTTTCCAAACTAGCTTTAATTTCAATCTTTTAAATAAACATTTACAACCAACATTTGCAAAAAGTACCCAGTTTGAAGTTAACTCATCTTTATTCTGCAAACAAAGGATCTTGCTTACAGAATTCCCTGGTAGGAACACAAGATTTAGTCCAAACTCATGCTTTAAATAATAGGATCATTCCTAATGCAAAGATTTTTCCCCTTGATCTTTATCTGGCTAATCTGCCAAAACAATTCATTTAAACTCCAACTACTGAGTTAAATGAGGTTTTAATTGATCGGTGCACTGAAAAACCAATTAGGTCTCCCGCTGAATGCAGAGCATCCTTAAAATCAATATGTATATATATATTACAAAAAAAAAAAAAATTTATGGAAAGGGTAGAAAAAATGGGTCTTGGGAAAGAGATTGCTGCTTTTGCTTAGAGGGTAAGAGGGTAAGCTGTCACTCATAGATCTCTGCTTCAAAATTGGTTTTTAATCATTCCTCTAGGAAATGGAGGAATGGAAGGCCAGGCCAACCCTCTCGCCGCCTCCACACGTCAGCTCTGCGCATCAGTTGTCCCCGATTTCGGTTCACCCCAGATCCCACAACAAGGAAAAGCAGGGTTTTAACCCATTTCAGGCCAAAGGCGGTTTAAGCCAATGGTAACAATAACCCTCAGTTTGCTAACAATGACTCAATGGAGGAGGAAGGCGGCTCAAGCTGGGCACCTCGGCCAGGTGGGGCTCCGAACCCAGGGCACCGGTGCCAGCCTACGCTGCAGGAGCGGCAACGCCCACTCGGCGGGGCTTGCGGGGCGACCACAGTGCCCGGCGCCCACGCGGACCAGGCAACTCCTCCTCTCGGAGCCAGGAGGATGTGGATGCCCGTGGCGCCGCTAGCCTGGCAGAGGGCACCCCGATACAGGCATGGCGCCCCCGCCCCCTTTTTCCCTTTGTTGTGCATCCTTCCGAACTGCTGGTACGCTGCGGGCGACCCCCAATTCTCTCCAGGGGCCTGCGAAGGGACCCCGCAACATAGGCCACATCCAACGAACACTGCAGCCCCCCCAGTGTGAGACGGTGAAACCAGGTACTAAGATCCTCCGGTCTAGACCCGGGACCTACGTGGCCACCACCCCCGGCCGCAGCGCGAGAGGCTGCAGAGCAGGATGTAGGTGTAGACGCCGACCTCCGCGGCGGCCCCCGCGGAGCAAGGGCCGGGGCGCCACACTCGCGCCCTACCTGGATTCGAGGGTCCACCTCCTCCTCCTCCTCCAGCCCCTGTTCCATCCCTTCTTCCTCCTCTTCCTCCCCCACGTCCCGGGCAGGGGGCGGGAGCTCGGCGGGCTCCTCCGAACGGCTCCGCTTCAGCGCCGCGTCCATGCAGGCAAGGGTACCGGTGCCTCAACTAAAATGCGAACAGTGCGGTGGGCTCCGGAGCGCCCGAGGGGTCGCGGCCGCTTCACGCTTGCCTGAGCTGACTTGTCACAGCGCCTCACGGTCCCGCAGCCGGCGCGGCCGACACCCGGGAGCGCTGCTCGCCGATGCGGATCCTGCCGGCCCAGGCGGAGCCAAGCAGAGGAAATGGGCGCGGCCGCCCCCTTTCTGCGGTGGCTGTCAGCGCAGTGGCGCCCGCTCCGCCCCTGTCCCGCCGGGCCGCCGGTCGGCAAGGCGCTGACCCCATTCATGGGCTGGTCCTAATTACTCAGGTCTCCGTCACAAAAAACCCAGGTCTGTGCAAACCTCTGGGGAGATGAAATGGGACAGTCCCCAACCCTTTTAACAGAGCATCAAGTATGTATTAGAAACTAACGATAGCCATGTGCTGTCTGAGTGGCTTTCTCTCTCCCTCCCCTGCCAAGGCAGGTTTAGAGGATGGGAGGGAAGTTCAGGAGAATTTCCACACTCTGAAGTCACCTTTAAAGGCCTGTACTCAGTGACCCTACACCAATTCAAGGCACACTCAAACCTCTGTCCCTTCAGGTGAAGCTTGTGAGTTGTATCTACTTTGAGATTTTCTCAGAAAAGGGAACTGAAACCAGCGCTCCCATAGACATACGGAGCGGAATCCGCTGTGGCTCTACGCATAGATTCGTTTTCCAAAGGCTGTGGCCTCAGCTGGGCAGAGCTCCACGCTGAAACACCCGTGTTTTCATAGGCAGAGGACAGCCCTACCGCAATAGTCATGAGGCATCAAAAATAGCGATTGGTACTGCCTTTTCAGGAAGGCAGCAAAGTATGAGACCTGTTGATGGGCACACACTAGTTAAAGAGTGGTGAATTGGTCAGATTTCCTGCCCACCCCACAAATAAGGTGCCAAAGCCAAACAAAGTGACATGTCTACACTATCATGAAATGGCAGGGCCACTAAGCTATCAGGCCGCAGTATTAGGTAACCTCAACATAGTACTCCAGGGACATTGTCACTGATGCAGAAAGTGAATATTTTCTACAGGGAGGCTAGTGGCCCATGCCTCTGTGAGTTGGGAGAACAAACTTGAGAAGAGAGCTTTTTTCTCGAAGCTTATCATTAAAGCCTTGAGAGCACTGGTGGTTCAGCGGTAGAATTTCTTGCCTTCCGGGCTAGAGACCCCAGTTCAATTCTGGTCATTGGACCTCACGTGCAGCCACCACCATGTGTCGGTGGAGGCTTACTTGTCACTGATGCTGAGCAAGTTTTAGCAGAGCTTCCAGTGTAGGAAGCATGGCCTAGTGCTCTACTTCTGAAAAAACAGCCATGAGAACCCCATGGAGCCTAGTTCCACACCATGGATAACACATATGGTGGCTATGAGTGTATGCGTATTGGGGGTGGGGGGCAACTGGACAGCTAATATCATTAAAGTCATCTTGGAAAACCTAAGATTTTACCAGAAGCTAAATTGGGGGATTAAACCTTGAGCAAAGTACCAACCTATTGTTGTTGTTAGGTGCCATCAAGTCATCTCCGACTCATAGCGACCCTATACACCGCAGAACAAAACACCACCCGGTCCCGTGCCAGCTCCACAATCATTGCTATACTTGAGCCCATCGCCGTGGCCACTGTGTCAATCCATCTCATTGAGGGCCTTCTCCTCTTTTGTCAACCCTCCACCTTACCAAGCATGACATCCTTCTCCAGGGAATCCTCACTTTCAGCAAGCAAAGTTGTGTCATCAGCATAGCGCAGGTTGTTAATGATTCTTCCTCCAATCTTGATGCCACATTCTTCATATACTCCAGCTTCTCAGATTATTTGCTCAGCATAAAGATTGAATAAGTATGGGGAAAGGATACAACCCTGATGCACTCCCTTCTTGATTTTAAACCATGTAGTGTCCCCCTTTTTCTGTTCAAACAATAGCCTCCTGGTCAATGTACAGGTTCCTCATGAGTATAATTAAGTATTCTGGCATTCCCTTTCTTTTCAATGTTATCCACAATTTGTTCTGATCCACACAATCAAATGCTTTTGCATAGTCAATAAAACACAAGTAAACATCTTTCTGGTACTCTTTGCTTTGAACCAAAATCCATCTGACATCAGCAATGATACCCCTTGTTCCACACCCTCTTCTGAATCCAGCTTATACCTCTGGAAGTTCTCTGTCAATATACTGCTGGAACCACTTTTGAATTATCTTCAGTAAGATTTTACTTGCTTGCAATATTAATGATATTATTCAATAATGCCTACATTCTGTGGGATCACCTTTCTTTGGAGTGGTTACAAATATGGATCTCTTCCAGTCAGTTGGCCAGATAGCTGTCTTCCAAATCTATTGGCATAACCCAATGAATGCCTCCAGTGGGGCATCCATTTGTTGGAGCATCTCAATGGGTATTCCATCAATTCCTGGAGCCTTGTTCTTCGCTAATTCCTTCAGTGCAGCTTCAACTTCTTCCTTCAGTACCACTGGTTCTTGATCATATGCCACCTCCTGAAATGGATGAAGATCAACCAGTTCTTTTTGGTACAGTGACTCTGTGTATTCCTGCCATCTTCTTTTGATGCTTCCTGCATCATTCAATATTTTGTCCACAGAATCTTTCAATATTGCAACTCGAGGCTTAAATTTTTTCCTCAGTTCTTTCAGCTTGAGAAATACTGAGTGTGTTCTTCCCTTTTAGTTTTCTAACTCCAGGTCTTTGCACATTTCATTATAGTAATTGGCTTTGTCTGCTGGAGCTGCTCTTTGAAATCTGTTCAGTTCTTTTATCTTGTCATTTCTTCCATTTGCTTTAGCTACTCTCTGCTCGAGGGAAAGTTTCAGAGTCTCTGCTGACATCCATTTTGGTCTTTTCTTCCTTTCTTGTCTTTTTAAGACCTCTTGCTTTCTTCGTGGATGATGTTCTTCATGCCATCCCACAATTCTTCTGGTTTTTGGTCATTGGTGTTCAATGCATCAAATCTATTCTTTAGGTGGTCTCTAAATTTAGGAGGGATATATTCAAGGTCATATTTTGGCTCTCATGGACTTGTTTTAATTGTCTTCAACTTCCAGTTGAACTTGCATATGAGCAGTTGATGGTCTGTTCCACAATCAGCTCCTGGCCTGGTTTTGGCTGAAGATATTGAGTTTTTCCATCACCTCTTGCCAC